TCAATTGTAAAATCAAAGCCCAAGGGTGTTTCAAACAACTCAATTTCAAACCAATTTTCAAGAATATAATTCAAACATAACATGCATGAATTTAAACCATTTCAAAGCTTCAATTTCATGCTCTAATGAGCCAATTCTTCCAAGGACAAGATGAAATCATGAACTTAAACACAATATGAACATGCATATAACATTTTACCATGAAATCAACTCACAACTCAACAATTCAAACATGCATGCATGGAATGAGCTCCAATTCAACAATTTAAAGTTAATTCATGCCCTTAATCTCTAAACTTCCATACACCATGCAACATATGACTTGATTACATGAACAAGAAGGTACAATCTCTACCTTAAGTCTTGAATCAAAGGCAAGGAGGCTCAATTATGCAATCTCTCTTCACTTCCTTCAAATCTCCAAACTAAAATTGATGAATTCAAGTTGAAAACACTCTTTTCCTCTCACTCTTTCACTCTAGTCGGCTATGCTCTCAAAATGGCTGAGGAAGAGTTATGTAATGCAAGACTAAGCCTTAGACAAAGTTTGGTGTAGTGGCCCACTCAAATGGCAAAGTTGTAATTAAATCTAATATATGTAATTTATCAATATTGATCCAATTTAATCATACCAAATCACATTTTAACTAAATATGCCATAAAATCACATTAATTCTAAGGATCACAAATCATCAATCAATTTCAGATTCGGCCGCCGATAAGGCCTTCAATTCGCAATTTAAACACAAAGGCATGAACAAATAATCAAACAGTCAACAGATAGACATACAATTAAACAGATATACTTGATCAATTCAGTTCTAGATTTCAGTCAGTCAGTTCAGTACTTCAATCAATTTGGTTACCAATCATAATCAGTCTCAGTTTAGCAGTAATCAGTGGTTAATCGGTAAACAGTGGCGAGGGTTGTTACAGCAGGCCTCTTCTCGGTCGCAGAAGTAGTCTTCTCTATTTCAGCCAACTTTGAAATTGGCATTGTGTCATTAGACTTGACCTCTGTAGCAGTGGCCTTTGCTTTAGCCCTTTTTACCTTCTTGGCTTTTGATTTTGACTGGGATTGAGATGGTGAAAAAGAATGGACCGACACCACTCTAAGGATATCGGTGAGAAGATCGTCTGGAACAATTTTTTCATGGCCCATTTCATCGGCAATAGTTGCAACAGTGACTCTGGGGCTGAAATGAATTGTCGGCAGGGAAATTGGAGGGTTTAATAGGTCTATAGTCGGGAAAACAGGACTTCGGTGTCTACGGCTACGAGTTCTGCCTGTAGGGGTGTTAGTAGGAGCTCGGTTTCAACGTTGGCGCTGGGCTGGAGGAATTAACTGGGGACAGAAATTGATGGCTGCTCTACTGGATCGGATGTGGAGGCCTGGTCTGGCTTTGGTGATGAAGTGATTTGCGGAGTTGTAGCGAATAAAGAAGACTTACTTTTGCGAGGAATGTCGGGCAGGGGACTTCGGTACGTCGGGATGTAGTTGAAAAGGAGTGGAGCCTTGCGAAGTTCAATGGGTAGGGCAATAAGTCGAACCAAGTCCTTTCTTGGTATGTAAGACTGACAGAAGTTCTTCTCTGGCTGGGAGAGAACTGCAAAGACAAGAAGAAAACATTCGAACAGATAAACAGTAAAAATGCTAAGTAAGGCAGTAAAAAAGGGGACTTTAGGGGAGAACTAAGTCCTTACCCTTGTCGTTCCTAAAAACTTCATGGTGCAAGGGGAAAAGGTAGAGCTCATCATCTGGCTCAAACTCCCAATTGCCCAAGACAATCAGGTAGTCCTCTGCTGCGCCTTTATTGGTGTCTAGAATGTCGGCTATCAATTTGTATTGTGTGGATCTCGGCTTGAGGTAGTACATATAGTCGGTGTTGGTCTTGAGGCCACACATAGTGTAGCAGTACTGGATGTCGAATAGGGTAATTCTATTATTCTGCCAGTGTGCCAACTCGGCAATGCCGTTGATGATCCTAAAGGAGTTTACGGTCTATTGCATGAGATTGAGCTTGTAGTAATGGAGGCCTTCCCTAAAGAGGATGTCTAGGGAAAACCTGACTTCACCTTCAATGATAGAAACTACTAGAAATGGAATGTAGTCCTGACCAGACATAATCAAGTCCTCCTCTCCAGTCAATATAACAACCCTGACCCATGATTAACGTTAATCCATGCTTAAGTGTGCCTAACAAGTAATTAAGAAGAAATCCTGAGTTAATTACTTGTGCATTGAATTATTTGTGTTTATATCTGTTAAACGTAGAAATATCTATTCATGTTTCCGTTTTGGTTTGTGAATTGAAGGCCTTATCGACATCCGATTCAGAAATTAACTTGATATATGTGTTATTTGAGATTTATAGAAATTTGTAGTAGGTTTAATTGAAATTCAATTCGAAACGATTTAAATAGATTAATTTGATGCCCATGTGATTAGACTTAATTAGCTATCATTAGACAAGCCTATATAAGGCACCTTTTTGCCTTAACTCACCCATTTTTCCTTTATTCAACACACTCTTGAGCCTATACACACACACAAACGCGAGAGAAGGAGAACAATGAGGAGATTGAGCTCACTCAAGAGACTTGCTAAGAAGAGATAAAATTGAACCTAGAGATTCAAGAATTAAGTCTCTAGCCCTTAATTTTGGGAAGTCTAGGTAGGGATTCACCCTTATATTGTCTAAATATGATGTGTAGGACTTGAACTCTAAGGAATTAGGAAGGTTGATACAAGATTTGAGTTAAACTTGAAGAATTGTAACCCAAATCATGCATGCATGCATGTTTCATAGTATTTTGAAGTTGTTTTCAAAGATTTTGCCTCATGCATGTTGTAATTCTAGCATGGTTTGAAGAATTCACAACATTTCTCACCATTGGACCTCCTTTGATCTTGTTTTGGGAGGTTGAATTTTATAACAACTCATGCATGTTATGTTTCAACGCTTTGAGTTTGAATTTTGTACCATTCACATGTTCCTAAACCTTGATTTTGCGAAACGATTCTAAATTCACTAAGTTTTCCAAGTTTACATAAGTTTTCTTAAGTTTTCCACCCAAAAAACATGAATTTCATTATTGGATTCAAGTTTGTAGCTTGGGAGTGCAATCTGGAAATTCTAGATTTTGCACTTCTACTCAAGCGGAATACCTCGCGCTCGAGCGGCCACCTTTGTTTTTGCATCATTGTTCGAACAACCAGAAGTTCGCTCGAGCGTGAAATGCATACCCCCAGAAGTTTCATGTTTTGCAGACTGCTCGAGCAGCAAAAGTTGCGCTCGAGCGAGGGGTTGAGTCTTACACTCGAGTGACCGTCGAGCGTCCGTCGAGCGTGAAAATCACATAACCAATACTTTTTCAAAGTTTGCAGATCACTCGAGCGTGGAAGGTTGAGCTCGAGCGGCCCCTCACATGTTTGCTAGTCTGCTCGAGCGCGGAAAGCTACGCTCGAGTGGGGACTCTATTTTCAGAAATTTCACCAAGTGTTTTCCAACGCATTTTGGCATCCTCATTGTATCTTAAACATTCCTAAGTCATGTTTAATTTTAACTATTGGAGTCATCTGTTATTTGTGAGTAATAACTCTGTAAAGTTATGTTTAATTTTAATTATTTTTCTGATGATATGAAATGATCAGTTTTCTGAAATGTTATGTTTGAATGAATGAATGGTTGTCTAAGTTTCGGAAATGTATTTGTGGCATCGTTAGCATCAGATGATATGTGTCCCTTTTATGGGTCATCGGAATATCTTTATGGTTGTCCCATCATAGGTCATCAGAATGCCTTTATGGTCGTCCCTTTATGGGTCATCGAAAACGTCTCTGTGCACATGAGTCATTGGAATGCCTTCAAGGCCGTCCCTTTATGGGTCATCGGATTTGTTAGTGCTAATGGATGTACCACGTATGATCATATGCAAAATCTGAATATGAAAATAAATATGAACATATATGTGAATCTATTTTTGATTTGGAATCTGAATGTGCATAAGACTCTAACTCTGATTGCTGACTCTGTGATGGACATCATTTATTAAAACCTTTTACTTGGTTATCATTCAGTGGGCTCCCACTCACTATTCATATTATGTATGTAGGTGATCAGGTGCGTAACTAGGCTCAAAGTTGATGGCCTGGAATTCCGTTTTGTTAGCCACCATTTGCGCCTCCCAAGGAGGTTCCAAATCATGTCAAGTCCCGTGGCCATATTTATTTTGTACTTCAGAATTTGGTCATTTTGTTTTGACTATGGACAAGTCCTACTTGTATGTATAGTGTATGAAATGATGTGTAATTACTATACCTTTGACGTCACTCGTCAGTTTATAAAAGTTTAAAATTATTTGTCTCATGTATGTCTTCACAGCTCAATGGACTGTGTATATTTGTATATTTACTTTCGCAGCCCCTAATTACATGAAATTCTGTTACGAGGTTGTTGGTAATCCAAGGATTACTGGCCGGTTACAACGCTAAACCTATGGGGGTTGGTTTAGGCCGTGACAGAGTGGTATCAAAGCACGTGTTCTACCACACACACGAGTCCATATGAGCTTAGGGTGTCCTAGTAAGAAGTAGGGCATTCTATCTGCATGTGTAAGTGTGTGCTCATTGAAAGTGAAGATTAAATCTAATTATAACCATAAGATATGGAAACAAATGAACTAAATGATGTGAAAGAGCTATTTGCCTATGTTTATAATATTTCGTTTACCTATAGCAAATGAAAAATGCAAGAAGTGATAGAACAGCTGAATTATCCAAAGCCCAAATGAACAGAATGGAGCATATGCTTGTAGCTCTGACCGAGGCAATAACGTAACAACAGAGGCAACAACCTTTGCCTCCATCGCTTCCGCCAGTACAAGTTGAGCCGGACAACAATGACATTACTAACTTGACTCAAAAATTTTTGAAGATAAAGCCACCAACTTTCCTTTGTGGCATTGAGCCATTGAAGGCAGAAACATGGCTACTTGAGATGGAAAAATTGTTTGAAGTCTTCCTCTACTTAGAGACTCAAAAGGTTCTTTTGGCCATCTATACCTTAAGGGATGAAGCCCGTAAATGGTGGTTGCTAGTTCGGAGCGGTAATGAGAATATGACATGGGCTCAATTCAATGCAATCTTCTATGACAAGTATTTCCCTCATTACTTTTGGGATCGAAAAGTGTCTGAATTCCAAGAACTCAAGCAAGGCAGAATGTCTGTGGCTGAGTACGAGGCTAAGTTCACTGAGTTAGCCAGATTCGCACCTCACATGGTGGACACGGACTACAAGAAAACCAACAAATTTGAGGATGAATTGGATTTGGATATATCAGATCGGATAGGAGTCCTCAACCTACCTACGTATGTAAATGTGTTGGATAGGGCATTGATGGCGGAAGCCATTTTGGCAGCAAAAAAGCAAACTCTTGTCCCAACAAGTGAGTGGAGGGGCAAAAGATCGGGGTCTAATTTCCAAAGAGGTCGATCATTCTCGAAGAAGCAGAACACAGGATCTTATAGTAGCTCAAGCCAAAGTAGTGGATCTTTACCGATTTGCTCATAATGTAGTAAAAAAACACAAGGGAGTCTGTTATCGAGCATCGGGTGCCTGTTTTAGATGTGGTAAAATCGGCCATATGATGAGAGATTGTCCTATCAGACTCGAAAATACTAATCACCCCGCAGCAAGTTCAGCCAGATCCGCATTGGCCTAAAAAATGAATACAAAAGCTAACCCTGGAAAGAAAACCTTAAGGCAAGGTCGAGTATTTGCTCTTGTGCCTGGTGATGTACAGAACACCGAATCTGTGATGTCAAGTATAATTTCTATCTGTGCTCAAAATGCTTATGTGCTGATTGATTCTAGTTCTACACATTCATTCGTATCGCATGCTTTTTCTCAAAAAATGAATAGACCGTTAGAACCTATACACTGTTTGTTGTCTGTGTCTACACCAACTGGGGGTTCTATGATATGTGCTTATGTTTATCTAGCATATGATGTTGTAATGGGTGAAATGACATTGTATGTTGATTTGCTACCCTAAGCATTGACCACTTTGATCATATTATGGGTATGGATTGGTTGACTAAATATTACGCTACCATAGACTGTGTAAGTAAATTTGTTGTGTTTAGACCACCTGGTATACCTGAATTTGTTTTTACTGGGAATGAGGTAGTTTCACCACCATACTTGATTTCATTTATGAAAGGTAGAAAATTATTAAGAAAAAGTTGTCAGGGCTACTTGTGTTGTGTGTTGACAAAATCGTTGGATGGTACTAAAATGGAAACAATACCTATAGTCTGTGAATTTCCTGACGTATTTCCTACTGACCTACCCGGGGATTTAATTGATAGGAAGATTGAGTTTATTATTGATGTGGTACCTGGAACACAATCTATCTCTAAGACTCCTTACAAAATGTCCACTTCTGAACTGAAAGAATTAAAAACTCAACTCCAAGAACTACTAGACAAGAAGTTTATTCGTTTGAGCACTTCGCTTTGGAGTGTTCCAGTGTTATTTGTCAAAAAGAAAGACGGCTCCTTAAGGCTATGTATTGATTATCGTGAGTTGAATAAAGTAACCGTCAAGAACAAGTACCCATTACCCCGAATAGACAATATGTTTGATCAACTCCAAGGAGTCCAAGTGTTTTCTAAAATTGACCTTAGATCCGGGTATCACCAGTTAAAGGTCAAGGCAAAAGATGTAGAGAAAACTGCATTCAGAACTAGATATGGGCATTATGAATTCCTAGTCATGTCATTTGGGGTGACTAAAGCATCTGCAGTATTCATGGACTTAATGAACAGGGTGTTTAAACAATTCCTTGATGAGTTTATTGTTGTGTTCATCGATGATATATTGATTTATTCTAAAAACAAGGAAGAATATGAGAATCATCTAAGAATTGCTTTACAGATCCTAAGGGAAAAGAAATTATACGCCAAATTCTCCAAATGTGAATTTTGGCTTGACAATATGGCATTCTTGGGACATGTAATCAACAAGGATGGTATCTCCGTTGACCCACTGTAGACACCCCATTTTTGACCGACCTTAAGACTCAGACGTAATCGATTGAGTGCTCGGTGATTGCGCATGTTGTGCTCGTTCTAAGGTTTCGGAGTCTCGGCTGAGAGCATTGCCTCCAGACTTCGGGACTCTTTTGTGTTTTGCCTCGGTTTGCGAACTAGGTTCTGTTTTCTCTTCCTGAAGGGAGGGAGAGGTCTCGTAGACCATCTCTCAGTGGCCGTAGGCTACTTTTCGTGGTCGTAGACCACTGTTCCCGTTTGGAGACCAGTTTTCGATTTTCGGAGCCGTCGGCCGTGCGCCTCGGTTCGGGACCGCTTAACTTTCTCCGTTTGCTCTGGTTTTTCGCACACACCTTGTTTCCTCTCTCTAAAGGGACACTGTGGCCTGGGAAACCACCTTCGTGGTCGCACACCACTTTCGATGCTTAACAGTCAGTTTTCGGGGCACCCGGCTGCGCGTTTTGGCCCCCGAACCCTCGTTTTGCATCCGTCTTGGTTGATTTTTGGCATGGACCCTATTTTCATTGTTTGGAAGGTGGTACAAGGATGGGAGACCACCTTTTCTCCTTGGAGACCACCTTTTTCTTCGCCGGCCGATTTTCTTGACAGGAAGCTGGTCTCCTTGGTTTTTGGGCCATTTTTACTGGTCTCCCACCTTACCACTTGCTTGCATTTCATGTGGAGACCACCATGGGAGGCTGCCGACCACTTGAACCTTTTGACCCTGGTCGGCCAGCTCCCATCAGTTCTGTCTCAGTGAGTTGATTCCAGCTGTGCCAGTTGGGAGGCACAGACTGCATCCTCCATACACGTGTATGGAGGATGTTTGCCCTTGGTTTTAAGCTTCTAGGAGAAGCTTTAGTTCCTCTTGTCTATAAAGGAAGGGCTCCCCTTCCTTGTAGAGGGTTCAAAATTTTTTTTTTTGTCTAAGGCATACAAGACTTCTCCCTCTATATCTCTACATCCAAGCTCAAAAAGTGCATGGTTCTTGCACCTTTGCATACCATCTCCCAACCTAACCCCTCCACCATCACTCTAAGCATCTTGGAGGCCTTTTTCAGAGGTTGAGAGGCTGTCTTTGTGGTCCAGAGGTTGCTGGTCCTTTCATTCTACAAGGGTAACACACTTTCTCCCTTTTAAGGCTTTATTTTGCTTCATCTTTTAGCTATACTTGCAAGAATATTTGAGCTTTGGTGTAAACTGAAAAAAGTCTTATTTTGAGGCCCTTAACATGTTTGTTTAAGATTTTTTTTTGTTGGGGGTCATCTACCCCCTTGCATGTTTCATTTTACCTTGTTTTTAGCCAGGCCTTAGAGCATTTGTGTTGGCCTTTGTTTGGGCTTTTAGCCACTAAAGTCCAGTGGATTTTCAGTGGCTAGCATACTATTTTGAGTGCCAAAATCAAAGAGGGGTGACCCTCTCTCTCCTTGTTTTGTTTTCTAGCATTTTTGGCCTTACAAAGGAGCCCTTATTTGCATGCTTCCAAGCCATGTTTCAGGCCATTTTTGATGAGTTTTAGGACCTTCATAGGCTCTTTTCAGAGCTTGTTTTACCATATTGGATTTCCATCTTGCATGTGTAGAATAACCCTCTTCATAACATATCAAAGGAGCATCTCATTCTTGCATACATTAACCATGTTTCAGTGGGTTTTTGGGCTTTATTTGGCATGTCATACCTCTGAATTTTTCTGGTTTAGTGGCCTCTTGATTGACTCACTTGCTTGTAGTGCAAATCCTCTTTACTAGCTTACATTGCATGCTATTTTGGCCTTTGATTCTAACACTTTTTGGTCATGCCTTAAATTGATTTTGTGCATGTTTTGGACTGCCTTAGCTTTGTTTTTGGGCCTCATGGTCGAATGATGTTTGCTATGCATGGTTGTAGTTCAATACCCTTACCTAGCTTTGAGTTTTGAAGCCTATTGCATGCGTATTTTAAGGTGTTTCCATGTTTTGGCATCATTGTGAATCATATTTTCGAGCTTATATGTATGCCATATTCCCATGTTTTCCAATCTTTAAATGTGTTTGAGAGTTATGCATGAATACCTCATTTTTGGACCATTGCATGAGCTTCATTTCTATGCTTTGCGAGCCATCATTTTAGTCCATATTTGCTACTATTTTGGCCTGCATAGGGACTGTTTGGGGCTGGCTTGGCCATTTGAGTATTGCTTTGCATGCCTGTAGTGTAATCCACTTCACTAGTTTCGGTATTTGGGCCATCTAGCATGCATTGTGTGAGGTGTTTGCATGATTCAAGATCATCTTGCATGTCATTTCAGAACTAGAAAATATGTGATTGTATGCCATATTTCATGCTTACCAAGCTTTGGTGGAGTTGCACTTTGTGCCTTAGGTTTGGTCCCTTGCATTTGTGCATGTTTGCATGTGTGTTATTGCTTCATTTTCATCATATTTGGCCATTGATTTGGGTGTGGCCGAGGTCCATCCATCTTGGTTTAAGTCCATCTTGCATTATGTATGCCATATAATCCATGTTGTTGCATGTTCGATCATTGCATTGAGTATGCCTCGTTCATAACATTGCGTATGTTAGTGCATTGTGTATGCATGCCATATAATCCATATGCATGCCATATAATCCATGTGCATTGAGTATGCCATCGATTAGTTCATAGCATTGTGTATGCCATTTGCATGCTTGCATGTCATCCTTTGCATGTTTACATCACTTAGTCGCATTACATTTAGGATTGCATACTAGAGTTGCATTTTGTACATGCCATGTCATTCTATCTGTTGCATTGTGTTTGGAGTAGAGTTTAGTCCAAACATAGGAAACAAGGAATGTTTTATACTCCAAGTGATCAAACGTGCCTCGATTTCCGGTCACCGACACTCTTGACCATCCATGATAGAGTTGTTGGTTTTAGTTGTTTATATGTGCATTCATGTCTCATTGAGTCGTGCAATCTGACTCCTCGGCCATCAAGCATCGAGATGCGTGATTGGTGGCACAAGGATCGAGGACTACACTCCCTGGAGCTTGTGCATGATGGGGAGAGCGGTCATGCACACATGTGTTGAAAATATTTTGCCATGCCCCTTTCTTACTCTCTGTTGCAGCAAACCGAAAACCAGCAGCAAAAACTGGTATCACGACATAAACACGCCCCTATAGGTTTAGCGTCGTAACTGACCAATAATCCTCGAATTACCAAAGGCCTCTTAACAGATTAGCAAGTAATAAGGGGCTGCGGAAGCAACTAGACAAAATAAACAAAGTCCAATGAGCTGTGATAACGTACATGGGACAGAGTAAGTCAAATTTATTTATCTTTATAAGCATGCTAGTCAAGGGACACCAATATTCACAAATATTTACAGACTGTAGTTTCCAGATCCTGACTTTACAAATAGACGGAGACTAGCATAACTACAAAAACAGCCATGGCAATTGACTTCAACTGGAACCTCCTCGGGAGGCACAACGATTGGCTGACAAAACTGGGATATAGGCCATCAACCCTGGGCCTGGTCTCGTACTTGCTCA